TTTAAAAAAAAAAAAAAACGTAAAATGATGGAAGTGACTAGGGCTGGAGTCTAGCTCATGGGCAGAGCACCGCGCTCGGGGTTCTGATCTCTAGCACTGCAATAAATAAATAGATGGTAGGGATTTAATTGTGCACCAAAGGAAGGATAACCATGGTTCATAAAAGAATGGAAAAGAGTACAGTTGTGAAGATGTGCCTAAAAGTGAAAAATAAAGATACATGTTAAGAGAGGTCATTACAAAGCAGCTAAAGAATCAGCTATGAGGGGAAATGGTAAAGTGGGGAAAAGAAAATACTGATTTTCCTAACAGTCTTTGTAGAAATACATGGTTGTTTACTGAAAAAAATAAAACCTAGCAATTAAAAATCCATATATACAAAACAAAAACAAAATATTGCCTTTATCTGTTATATTGACAAAAATTTTATACGCCCACTATTAGTGAATATGAATTAGAGCTATTTTGGAGAGCTAATGCAGCAACATCTGTTAAAATCGTACATTTAAGCCAGCAAATCCAGTTTCAAATAAACATTTCTCAAAAGCCCAAAAAAGCCTTGCTAGACGCAGGGTTGTGCCCCTGTAATCCCAGATACTTGGGAGGCTGAAACAAGAGGATCACGAATTCATGGCCTGGGCAAACACTCGGCAAGACCCCACCTCCAAACTTAAAGAAACGGGGAGCTCAGTGGCAGAGCACTCGTGTAGCGTGCGCGAGCTACCCGAGTTCAATCCCCAGTGCCACAGAGACAGGAGAAAATGAATGGAGTTTTACATTTTATTTAAACAGATAAAACTAATTTTAATAACATTTTATTGAACCCAGTATTATACATATCTAAAATACTTCAGCATAGCCAATATTGAGGCGATATTGCACTTTTTTTAAACAAAATCTTTGAAATCTAATGTTTGGTTGTTTGTTTTTTTTTTTTCCAATACCAGCGATTGAACTCAGGACCTTGAGCTTGCCAGGCAAGTGTTTATTCTCCTGAGCTATCTCCCTGGCCCTCTAATGTTTGTTTGAAACTTCACCCCATTTGGTTGTATTAGTCCTGTTTCAGGTGCATAGTAGCCAGTAAACGGTGCAGTTCTAGAATGTTCATTGCCAGCTTCTTTGTAATGGCAGGATGTCAAAGGCAACTAAAAGTTTATTAGCTAAACATCAACTAAACAAATACAGTAATTCTGTAGAGGTGAAAGAGATAGATCTCAGGGTATTACGGAAAGTGTTCAGGATGTATTATGTCCACTTGACACTATAATAAACTGAACCGAACTTCTCAAAAAACAAGATAGTGTGAATAAAGGAAATATGCAAAATAGTATATCAAATTTGCACTATTTTTATTTTCATAAATATTTGAAAATATTTGTATATTTGAGAATACACACTCTTAATATAAGGAGAAAACTAAGAGAGAGTAGGGGTCATATCTCACTTTCAGCCTATTTGCATAGATAAGATTTTGCCAGAAAGTAATTATACAGGGCTGGCCAAATAGCTCAGTGGATTAAAGCACCTGCAAGCAAGTTCAGGGACCAGGGGTTTGATCCCCGGAGACTGGGTGTGGTGGCACACGCTGTAATCCCAGCACTTAGCAAGCTGACCACAGGCGGATCGCTATGAGTTCAATCTACGCAGTGAGACCCTATAGACCCTGTTCTAAATACAAAAAAGAGAGAGAGAGAGAGAGAGAAAGTAACCACATTTACTTCTTTGTATACTCTCTGGCTGCCATTGCAGTACACTGTCAGTGCTGAGTGTTTGAGTGAAGATTGTCCAGGTTCTAAAATGCTTCCTCTTTGGCCCCTCGCAGAACACTTGCCAGCCCTGGCTCTGGAGGCCCTGACCTGATCTTGCTGTTCATTTCCATGTGCTGGTGCTACTAAAAATTTGCACTTTTTATGTTGTTTGTCTTTCCTAATACACTTTTTAAAAATAATAACATGCTTTATGCTTCAAAAAAAAACAAAGATGACTTTATTGATTTTGTTTTTGTTTTTTTTCTTTTTGGTGCTAGAGACAGGAATGCTGAGCTACACTCCCAGCCTTTCTTATTTTTTTATTTTGAGACAGTCTCACTGAGCTGCCCAGCCGGGTCTTGGAACTTTCCGCCTCAGCCTCAGAAGTAGCTAACGTGATAGGCCTGCATCACTACATCTGGCTTAAGCAGTAACCTTCAGAGACGAACACCTCATAGGCGTATCTGACAGGATAGTCTATCAGAGACATCTTGGAACACGGTGCTCATTTCGTTGGTGTTTCCCACTCTCTGTCCAGCAGCATGTGTTGTCTTTCCATTTGAGTCGCAGCAAGCTAGAATGTGCCTGCTCTGTAAACGGTGCTCTGCTGGCTTGCTTGCATAGGGACAGGAGTACCGTTTCCCTCATACTGTATCGTTTGCCGTTGTGCTGCTCCTTACATCTGCCTTTGGACTTGCCGTTTTTGTAAACTCCTAAAAGCCTGTGCTTTTGCAAACCGAATCAGTAATGCCTCTGTAGCACAGCAGAGCCACACACATTCCCAAGCCATCTCACTTCCGAGAGTTGATGTGATGACATGC